TAAAATATATGTTATTTTGGAAAAATTCAACAGTATTAGTTTATGATATTGAAAATTCAGTTTTTAATAGAGCATTATTATTATTTTTAAGATTCTATAATCATCAGTCATGTGATCCTTATTTCCTTGATTTTATTCAGTGTTCATTTAATGTTGAAACAATTGGTCGTGTTGTTTTACCAATTCTTATTCCTTTATATATTCCTCTTGAAAAAAGAACAAAATATTGTAATTTTGAAGTAAATGATGACCTTCTGTTAACACATCTTAACATGATTGAAACTTTATTTAGTTGTATTGATAATAAAATGATTGAAGCCTTAGAAGGAGCAATAGTTCCAAAGTATTTATTAAATAAATATAAAGAAATTAATCCTCAAATTGAACAATTACCAGAACCAAATAATCTTCTTTTGTTTATTATTACTACATTAATGATTTATTTAAAAGCAAATAAAAAAATTGTAAATAACTCAAATAAGAATGTAATTTTTAAATATCAATCATTAATAACTGATATTTTAATTAATATTTTTACTAATTATCAAGAAAATCAAACAATAAAAAAAATTGGCATTTCTATTCAATACACTGTATTATCTTCATTTGCTGAATCTATTACGTCTTCTCCTAAATTACAACTTCATTTATTGTCTTTAGTTAAATTGTTAATGAAAGTTAGTGATATTACTCATCCAGATGAATGTATTACTAGATATCCTTTATTTATTCAAACATTAATTAGTGGCATTTCTCAAGAAAAGAATATTTATCGTCAACATTTTCTTAGAATGATTGATGATTGTGTCTCTTATATTCCATCAACAGAATATAAAACTTCTGTAGTTTTATTGATTCAGGCATTATCAACTATTCTCAACCAAATGTGTACTATTATTTCTCCTCAAATTTTGTTATTGTGTGATGAAGTTAGTCCAATAATCGATATTCAAAGAAAGCTTTTTGAATATTCACTAAATTTATTCCCCTATAAATCATTATACGAAGAAAATTCAAGTCCTCAATCTCAACAAGTTAGTGCAGGTCAACAAATAGGAAATGCTGTCCTCTTTGTACCTATGTTAGTTGTTTCAGTATTTTTTGATGTTAAAGGTACAAAAGAAAAACAACCAATTCAAAAATATTTCCTTACATCAACAATAAAACAAATCATATTAACATATTTTGACTTATATGAATTTTGTATGAAAGCAACAAACTTATTCTTAATACAAACAAATTGTGTTGCTTTCATTGAAAAAGTCTTTAACACTTTTCCTTTAGAATTTGTTTCAAATTATCTTATTATTACAAATGAATTCTCTGATGAACACATTTCTTTATTTAAGTCATTTGATAAAGAGTCAATTGTAAAAATGTTATGGTCTTTATTAGTTATTAGTGAAACAAATATGTTCTTAGAAATTCCAAGAAAACAAATATTAAATTTCCTTCAATTTTTAATTTCAAAAATTATTTCTCCAATAGAAATTTATCGAACTCAAATGTATATTCAATCAATCATTAATTGTTATATTAATAATGATGAATTAATATTTTCTAATATTCATACAATTAAAGTCTTTTTGGATTCTATGAATCAAAATGATATTAAACTTCAAACAAAACTTGAAACTGGTTGGCAAGAATTAATCACTAATGTTCTTAATAAGTTTATGCTTTTTATTCATCAATGGAAAGAAAATAATCAAACGGTTAAAATTAATCAAAAAAGAAAAAGTATTTCATCTGTTTTATCAACACCAGAACATCTTAGTGAGTCAAGTGAAGGTAAAACACCAAGAACAAGTGAAGTTAATGAGAGTAAAACGTCATCAAAAAATAGTGAAGAGAGTGAACCAAATATTGTTAATAATGAATTACTGATTAATTCTGATGTTATAAACATAGTCACAAATGATATCATTCCAATTATTTCTTTTGTATTTGATGATTCTTCTATTTCAACAATGATTGATTTAGGAAAACAATTTGAAAATAATTTACTTCATCCTTGTAATGATATGGGAATAAATATTGCTTCTCTTAATGTTCTCATTGAATTAGCAAAAAGAAACCAATTAACAAATAAATGGAGTAAACTTGTAATAAATGTTTTTACAAATGAAGATTTCTTTACTAAATCTCCAACATTATTAAATTTATGGAAAATACCAATATATTCAGTTTATACAACTAATGGAGCACGTCTATTATTTGATATGATTAACAGTATTGGTAAATCGGGACAATTATTTACTACGAAAGAAAATGAAATTCCTACACGAGCTAAAATATTTAAAAGAGTTGCCTTTTTATTACTTTCTGGAGAAAATGAAGTATTTGACACTTTTATGGATCAAAACCAATTATTAGTTGAAATTTTATTAGACAAATTAATTGATACTATAAAACAATATCCATGTACACAAATTTATATTAACGGTTTATTATTATTAAAAGTAATGTTATTAAAATGTTCATTCACAAGACTAAAAAAGAGAATGCCTACAATATTAAATGAATTAATAACAATATTCAATTTACCATTTGACAAAGATCCAATGATTATTCTAAGTGGATTACAATTATTTGATATGTTACAAATTATTCCAGAATGTTCAGTTGATATTTATTCTTGGATTTTCTTTTTACCTTATTCACCTGATGACCTTATTAAGTCAAAGTTTAAACCACTAATACCAGTATTAACTTTGAAAAGTGAAGCTGATTGTTCTGTTGATAAACCAGATATTACATACAATGGATTGACTCAACTCAGAGAGCTGATTTTCAAAGATAAGTTTATTAATGATATGCAAGAATATCAAATTTTACGAATGAAATTAAGTTATTATACTAAAGATCTTTATCGAATGACTTCACGTTCAGATAATACTAATTTTGATTCAGTAGCTAGAGATATTATGGAAACTTTTTTGAAATAAAATGATGTTTATCGTTTTTTATTTCATTTAAAATTGTTTTATTTTTCAAGTAAAAATATTTTTACTAACAAAAAAGGTATAAAAAATCTTAATAATTATTGATGACCTTATCACCACCTGAAATACCCGAAAGCTATTCTGTTCCTGAATATTTTGACGATAGTATTTTATTTATTGTTAGTAATCCTAATAATTCAAGTATTCAAGTTCAATATGATGTTGGAGATAAATATAATAGATACTCATGGATAGGATTATTTGATATTAATGAAAGTGATAATAGAAAATATTTAAAATATAAATACATAGATAGTCCAAAAGGAACAATTGAATTTAATTCACTTTGTGAAGGTCAATATGATATTCGTTATTTTCCAACAAATGCCCGAAACATAGCAGCATCTTCTATTGTGCTTGGTACTCCAATTCAAATTAAAGAAGTTATTCAAGAAGGTCCAGTACTAAAAATTGAAATAGAAAATCCACGTAGAAGAGATATTTATTTACAATTATATGAGAAAGGAATAAAAGACCGTGTAAATGTTTTATATGAAATAAATAAATGCAGTGAATGGTCTAATTCTACTTCATTTACAATTAATGTTGAAGGAATAAATGGTGATTATACATTAATTCCAAAATACAAAACATGCTATTTTACTGTTTGGAGGTATTATGGTATATTTCTTATTCCAATGCGCTGTTATATATCACAAGGAGCTAAAGACATACGGCTTTGAATCATTGAAATTTTCTTTTAATTATCGTTTATAATTCTTTTATCATAAAATTATTAATACTAAATAACAAGAACTTAAAAAATGTATTTCAATGAAAAATTTGTTTCGGACAACATCATTTACTCCAATGATTAAAGTCTCTACTAATGGATTAGTAGCTGTTGGAGGAAATAATATTTGTTATATAACAAATCCAACAAATGGTTTTATCACTAATTTTGATATGCCATCAGACCAAGACAATGTTGATGTAGGTAATTTTGAGCCTTCAAATTTAATTTTTCTTGTTCCATCTAATGAAGCAAAGAATAGTATTCATACTGTTACTTCAATGTGTTGGAATAAAACTAAAAGTGATGAACAAGAACGATTATTAGTTTCTTGGAATTGTCATTCATTAGTTGTTTATACAGAAAAAACAGAACAAACTACACCATCTTCATTATGGTGTATATCAAATGATATTTCACATATAATTAATTTGTATTTTAAGGAATTATGGGGAAAAAGTGTAGAACATAAAATAAATAATGAAGAATATATTAAAAGAAAATATTCATTATTTATTGTAGATGCACAATTTACTGATAAAAATGATATTGCAGTATTAACAGGAAATACATTCATGATATTATCAGAACCTTATGACTCTATAATTTCTATTAACTTAAAAATGTATTCAAAACATTTTGTATCATTTCAAAAAAATGAAACTACACACTTTATCTTTGGAAGAATTGATGGGTGTTTAGATTTGTTAGAATTTAAAAATAAATCATTCACATTTGTTAAAACAGAAATTATGGAAAAAGATTATTGTGTTCCTCTTTCAATTATTATTTATCAAGATAAAATATTTGTATTAAAATCAACTCAAATAAAGGTTGTAGATCTTAAAACATTTCAATGTATTTCATCATTAGAAATAGGACTTTGTACTACATGTTGTTTGAATACAGAGTCATCATTATTGTTTCAAGACTATCAATTTAATATTAAGAAATTAAATCTTAATAATAATGAAATTAGTACTATTGCAAATAATATTGTTTCATTTGATTTGTCTTCTGAAGGAAATATTTATTCATTAATTCCATTACAAAATTCATTAAGTAGATCAGTATTTCCCAATCATTTATTAGTAATTTATAAAAGAGATAAAGGAATGGAAGAAATAAAAGAAAATGAAATACCCAAAATTAATGAAGAACTTAGTTCATTATGGAAAGAATATGATTTAAATTTAACAAATTTAATAACAGAAGATAGTGTTATTAGAAATGAATCAATAAATGAAATTAATCAATTACAAATAGATATTACTGCAAATATTTTATTAAAATGGATTACTTATTTAAAGTCTGAAGGAATTATATTATCAAAGTTACCAACATTTATTCATGATTTACTTCAAAGATATTTTTGTTTTATTGGTAATTATGAACTACCAAATTGGACTAATGAATATAAAGGAATATTTGAATATACATGTCCATTATGTAAACAGTCTTGTATTATTAAAAAGAATCAAATTGTATGTCCATTGAGTCACTGTTTTAAACTTTGTGTAATAACTAAACAACCAGTAGTTAAAGTTTATAAATCTTGGAAATGTATGAGATGTAATAGTTGTTCAATATTTCCATTACTTTCATCACATGAACAAGAATTATTAAAACCATTATTAAACACAATTCAATGTACATCAACAACCTGTTTTTATTGTGGCTCAGGATTAAAGAATTTGCTTTATATTTGAAATATAAAAAGAACAAAATAGGAAATTATAATTGACTTATAACTTTGAATAATCTCTAACAACATTGTCCTCTTCAAGAATTTGTTTCACATATGGGTCATTATGAATAGCTTGCCAACTATACCTTTTTCTTTGATTATAGACAATAAGATTTTCTACAATTCGTTTAATGCCTGGAATTGTTTTCCATACATTATATTCATATATTGGTACAACATCGTGTTGCATATTTTCCATAAATCTTTGCCTATTAGCACTAAGTGGATAGGTGTGAGTACGTAAGAAATAAAGTAATCCTCCCAATGACCATAAATCACATTTATAATTATATTGAATTCTTTTAAATACTTCAGGTGCCATAAAAACCGGAGTTCCAACATAGCTTTGCATCATTTGATGATTTTCAACAATTTTAGATAATCCAAAATCAGCGATTTTAATGAAAGGTACATGAGGATTATTTGGATTAACTTTTAATAAAATATTTTCTGGTTTTAAGTCACGATGAACAATATGATGTTCACTATGAAGATACCATAATCCCTTTAATATTTCTGATAATGTATGTGTCATTAAATAATCTGGAAATGGTTCAATTGGATAATTTTTCTCAAAAAAACTTTGTAATGTTCCTCCATCACAAAATTCTATAATAATTTCTGCATAACTTCCTTGTTGTAACCCTCTAAAACTTTTTGAATGAATAAATGAATCATACATTTGAATGACATTAGGATGTTGACATAATGCCATAATATCAACTTCATTTTGAATATACTCCCTTTCACCATCATTTATTGTCATTTCTTTAATTGCAACAACACGCTCTCCTCTTTTTGTTTTTTGAATTGCTTGATAAACAATAGCAGATGTTCCTTGACCAATATCTTCAATAATTTCAAAGTCTTCAGGTTTACTTCTAAATTCTAAAAATGTTGCTTTACGAGCAAGTTTTAAATATTTATCTTCATAAGTATAATCCCAATTTACATTTTTTAATAAAATCATTTCAACTAATGTTTTAACTAATGGATTTTTAAATAATGAAGTATCAATATACTGTTCAACACAATTTTCTATTAATGATTTTAATGTAACATTTGGTGAATATGGTAATTTACCAGTCCATATTTTTGTTATAAGTAATGCAAATGTAAAAAGATCAGCTTTACAATCAGTACCTCTTTTATCTTTAGCCAAAAGTTTTAATTGACTTGGTGAAATAAACATCTTTTGTTCTGTAGAAAATGTTTGAATAAAAATTAATGGAATATAATTCATTAATTGAATTTGATATGTTTTTGGATTAGTTCCAGGTATAACTGACATAGCAATATTAGACGGATGTAATGAATAGACTTTAATATAATCAGAAAAATTTCTTATTGAATTTAATGCCATCCATACTTGTGAAATTACAGACATAGCTTTATCTCCATTCAAAGTATGATTGGGTTCATTTTGAAGAAATTGCTCCAAGGTAAATGGAATTAAATCTGATTCAAAAGTTAAAATACCTTTTGGCTTCTATCAATGAATATTTTTTTTATATATTAACGAATAATTGTAAGTTACAAACTTGTTTTCTTGAAAAGAAATTTGTATCAACATAGTCTGGTTGTTGGTATCTCCAATTTCTATATTGAAGGAGATATGGAGAATTAATTCTTTCCACTACACTTATAATTTTTGCTATTTCAATTGGGTCCCAATATCCATAAACTGTATATAACAATCTGTCACGTTCATATTTTACTTCCAATGGAGCACCTACCTCCATGAACTTAGAATTAATAATTAAAGTATTATTATAAAATCATATTTATTTATAATTTATAATCTATTTTACTATTTAAAAATTATATTAAAAAGATGTATAAAAAAAAATAGTTTAAAAAGTTGTTTAATGAAAAATAAAATGATGTTTTAGTTTTTGTTGAAAAAAAAAGAAAGTGAAAAGAAAAACTTTGAAAAAATAAACAAAATCTCTATTATTTGTAGATGATTTTTTCTTTTCTTATTCTCTGTCTCACAATAATTTTAGGATTAATTTGTTTTGTTACGATTACATTCTTTTTACTCTTTAAATACTCTCCAAAAGTTCCACCTCCTATACCAGTAACTACACCCTTAAAGTGTCCAAAAACAAATCAAATACCTACTTTTGTTTCTGATTGGTTTAATAATGCACCATTAAACGAAGTGTCTTCGTTATGTATTATTCAAATAGAAAGTGAAGAAACAAGTGCAATATTATCTACTGATAGTGAATATATTAATTTAATAATATCAACTCAATTAGTACGTATTCCTCTTAAAACAGTACAAATTAAAAATGTTAGTTTTAGTGGAAGAAAGATGTCAAAGAAAAATTTTATGAGAGTTATTGGGGAATATGGACCAATTTATAAAAACTCTGACATTGTTCAAATTCGATTTAGATATGCTTATGAATTAGAATATTGGGACAAACTATTGAATGAATTATGTGAACTTGCACATAACCAAAGAAGTAGTCAAATGACAAAAAATGGTATTGGAAGAAAACAATACCTATTACTAGGAGAACAAATGATTAAAAATGAACAAGGACTAAGTGATTCTGATAAACATTGGTCTAGTACCGTCAATATGTTACTTCAATTACTTTCATACCCCTTCATTTCTAATACTGATTTACATAATTTAGTAAGAAATAAAATTAATGAATTATTTGCATTAGAATTAACACCAAATCTTTCAATGAATCTTATTCAAATGGGAAATAATGTTCCATATATTAAATCACCTAAAGTACAATGTGGTAATGAACCGGGTGCTATTACTATTGATGGAACACTTGATTATACAGGTCCTATTGGAGCGTCTTTTGTATATGATTTTAAATTATTAAATATTAAAATTCAATTATCATTTTCTATAACATCATTATTAGGGGATGTTAGAGTAAGAATATTAAAAATCCCATCAAGTACTCTTTGGTTTTCATTTCATGAATTACCTAAAATTGGTATTTCATATTATTTAAGAATAGGTAATTATGAATGTAAACAATTACCAACGATAGAACAATATATTATTGAAATGATTAATTGTGCTATCTTAGAAATTTGTTATTCTCCTAAAATGTTTCCAATTCCTATTCCAAATTTCTCTATGGTTGATTATCTTAAAGATAAAGGACTGAAAAATGATGAAAAAAAAGAAATTATTGTAGAAGAACAACAAGAACAAATAAAAGAAGTTCATGTAGTAGAACAATCTGAAAAAAAAAGAGGTTTTGAAATTAAACCAAAAGAAATAAATAAAAAAGAATTTCAACAACCTATAGAATCAATTCAACTTCAAAAAGAATGTATAAATCCAATTCCTAAAATTTCTCAGCCTTCAATAAAAGAAGAAAATCAAGTTGAAAATACTCCTATTCCTAATAAATTAATTGATGAAGGAAAAATTAGAATACCACAAAGTGGTACTATTGATAAAACACTTCAACCATATTCGTTAAAAGAATTAGATATCTTTTTTGATAAAGAAGACATTAACAGAATTTATAATCATTTTATAAATAAATTAGACACAACTAAACCTTTAAATAAAAAACAACCACCAGCACTACCAAAGAAAGACTCATTAATAAAATCTTCTACTTTAATACAACAAACTCAACTTACAACTAATCTTCATGATAAACAACCACCATCTCTTCCACCAAAACAACTCATAGAACAACCAAAGAAACAACCCCCATCTCTTCCACAAAAACAAATCTTAAAAAGTTCAAATGAAACAATCTGTCAACAAACTAAAGAATGTCCACCATTACCAAAAAGAGATCGTCCCACGCAATTATTAACTAAACCAACTTTACCACCAAAACATGATACATTTATTAAATAATAATTTTTTTAATAACTTCTAAATTTTAAGATGAAAATTTTATTTTTTAGTTTCAAATTAATTTTGTTCTAAAATAATTTCTTTAACAAATAAAAAAACATCAATTCTTTATAAAAAAGTATTATTCTTATTGTTTTATTAAAGTTTATATTCTATTTTCTAAGATAGTATTTAATAACTCATTTTATTTATCTCTTTTAGTAATAATTAAAAAATATAGACTCTTCTTTCAAAAACTATACAGACTTCATTATAAACTAATAAACCTCATTTTTTACAATATCAATTCCTTCAAATAAAAAAAATTTTTACTTTCATAAAAGAATATTCAATTCTTCAAAACTAAAAATTATTTTTTTTTATTTCTATTGAAATTAAATGATTTATTTTAATAAATAATTAAAAAATGAATTTAAATAATATTTAATAACTATCAATAACTACATAGTTTTAAAAAAAAGAAGAAGAAGAAGAGATATGATTTGAACAAATTAAATTAGATAGAATTAATGAAAAACTCTTCTACATGAATTCTTGTTAAAGCATGAAGAGAGCAAACTAGAAAAATAAGTTTTGAAAAAACAAACACAAAAGTTGAATGAATAAGAAACAGAAAAAAAATAACAAACGAGAAATGGCTATCAAATAAAGTAACCAAATAATAAGTCTATTAACACACAAGCAAAGAGTAAATAATGTTAATAAATAGATTAAAATAAAAACCATTGGAGTTTGAGATAATTTTTTTGATAACTTATTTCCAAAAAAATATAAGATAATGTTAATTACTGATTCAATAAAAAAGAATTTAAATGATAAAAACTCTGATGGAAGTAATAATATAAATATAGTCCCAATATAATATTTAAGATATGTAATTATATTATTCTCAAATCGTAGTTTAGCATTTGTAGGAACTGAGTATGAAGATGGACTACCTATAAATGTCTTAATATCAATTTGTTCATTAAACATATCATTGTTTGAATACCATGGAATATCACCTAATTCTTCTTGGGAAACTCGAACATATGTAGTTTGAGCAGTTTCTTCTTGGTTCATTTTTAATTAATAAAATAATATATTCAGTTCTTTTATTTTTTAAGTTATTCGAAAAAAAATTAATTAAATTTATTTAAAATGAAATTAATGTTGTTGGTTTTTTGTTTTTTTTTTGGGAACAATCATAACTAACTCTTGGTTTTAAATACTTTTATTATCTTTTATTCACTTAGAATGTCTATTATCTACATTAATGGTGTATTTCATTTTGAGATTATAACATATGTTTATTATTAATTATATAATATTATTTCAAGTTTTAAATTTGTTTAATAATTTCATAGTTAAAATATATTGTTTGTAATTAACAATTCTATTGACTCATTATTTTTAGAAGCTTTTCTGGATAAGACAAAGACTATAGAATTACATCATAGTGTTTAATAAATTAAATAATTAAATAAATTACCTAAAATAACACTATATTATAAAATAAGACATATTGTATAAATGAAATAAAGTACTGTAAATTCACTTGTTTAAATTATTATTTATAAGTAATTAACAATAGACTCAATCTATTACTTCTTTCTTTGGTTTTTTTTTTATTTTTTATAAGAAGATATTAAACTCTATTATATTTTTTATATTACTGAAAATTGTTCATCGTTATGTACATATTTTAATTGAATTTTTTAAATAATCATTACTTGTTTAGTCATGTCTTAATTCAGTATTTAAACAAGAATAATAAAAAGAAATATTTCAATTCTTGGAGAAGAAAGAAATATTTTTTATAGAAAATAATAAGTAAAGAAAATGTCTTTATAAAAGAATTATAAAAACACAAAATTCAATTTGTACATATTAAATAAAAAATAGAATTTAAAATCCAAAAAAGTATTATAAATTACAATTTTGTTAAGTTGATAAAAAGTATTTAGTTTTTTTTTTCTGTTAAAGAATTTGAAGGTTGCTGAATTTGTGAATGATACTCAGGTTGTACCTCTGTATCATCTATTCGTTGCATTGTTGAATTGTTAGGGAATTTTAAGATGATAATTGCTATCAATAAACAAACAGCTGTTACAAAACAAAGAGCTCCAACAACTAAACCAAGTACTCCAGTAATAAAAAAAGTTAGACAAGATAAGATAAAATACCATAATGTAAAGAACCAATTTGAATTAACAAATGATTCTCTTTTAAAAAAAATGAAATAAATTGGATATAAAATTGTCATTAACCCCATTACTAATAATGCAACTGCAACTAGAATTACTGCGAGAGTTGGGTTTGTTTTTAACCCTTCTATTAAAAATGATCCTGCTGAATTATATACAAAATGTAAAGCTCCTGTTAATATAACTACTTGATAGTTTAATACATTTTGTTAGAAATTAAAAATAAAAAAAAATTTACAAACAAATCCCCATAACTAATGACCATCCAATAAATACATATTTAAAAATCTTCTTCAATGAAACGAAGGACATAAATATTGAGTTTTTTCTATTTTTTAGTAATACCAAAAAAAAAACATTTCAAAAATTTATTTAGAAATTTTTGTTATTTATAGTATCATCTCTAATAATTCTTGTATTTAGTTCTTTATTTTTTTTTTTTATTTTTTTTTATAACAAAGAAAAATGAAAAGATTGGATTGTCATTGATGCAAAACGATAAGTCATCACCTACTGTTAATCATCTTTCTAATGAAGACAAACAAAAAAGAGAAAGTGCTCCAAAAAAACGTTTAACAGCAAAAGAGAAAAGAGCAAATAAGATATTAAAAATGATGGAAGGAGCAAAAGAGGTTAATGCTCTTGATTTAGTTAAAAAGTCTGAAGAGGAGTTGTTGAAACAAAAACCAGAGTT